GTCTGGAGCTGATTAAGTCGATGTCCAATGTATCCTCCTTGTGTAACACACAACAAATCGTTCTTTAACGTATCTAATTCGCTTTTAAATTTACTGATATTTTCCATTTGTACCTCTTGCCATTGTTGTTGATTTTCCTGTAGTTGCTGCTGACTTTCTTGTAGTTGCTGCTGACCTTCCTGCAACTGTTGGAGACTTTCTTCCTGTTTCCTTTCTTGGTCCAGTTGCCACTGCTGTAATCTCTCTTCTTGTTTCTTTTCTCGTTCTTCTTGTTTATTTCTTTTTCCTCCAACAACTGTTGTAATCTCTCTTGTTATTTTGCTGTTCGAGCTGCCATTGCTGTAGGTTTTCTTGCTACTGCTGTAATCTTTCTTCTTGTTTCTTTTCTTTTTCCTCAAACAACTGCTGTAATCTCTCTTCTTGTTTAATTTCTCGTTCGTCTTGTTTCTTTTCTTTTTCCTCAAACAACTGCTGTAATCTCTCTTCTTGTTTAATTTCTCGTTCGTCTTGTTTCTTTTCTTTTTCCTCTAACAACTGCATTAATTTCTCTTCTTGTTTAATTTCTCGTTCTTCTTGTTTCTGTTCTTGTTTATTTTGTTGTTCGAGCTGCCATTTTTGCAGGTTTTCTTGCAACTGCTGTTGTCTCTCTTCTTGTTTCTTTTCTTTTTCCTCTAACAACTGTTGTAATTTCTCTTTTTGTTTATTTTGTTGTTCGAGCTGCCATTGTTGCAGGTTTTCTTGCAACTGTTGTTGTCTCTCTTGTTGTTTCTTTTCTTTTTCCTCTAACAACTGTTGTAATTTCTCTTCTCGTTCTTCTTGTTTCTTTTCTCGTTCTTCTTTTTCTTTTTCCTCTAACAACTGTTGTAATTTCTCTTCTCGTTCTTCTTGTTTCTTTTCTCGTTCGACGTAACAAATTGGTGTTAGAAGTGGGATAGAGAAAAAAAAAGAGAAGAAAAATGGAAACGAGAGGCGGAAAATCAAACTACTGCTTAGCAGATTTGATGGCAGCAATACAAAACCAAAAGAAAAGAAACAAGAAGAACGAGAAGAGAAATTACAACAGTTGTTAGAGGAAAAAGAAAAGAAACAAGAAGAACGAGAAGAGAAATTACAACAGTTGTTAGAGGAAAAAGAAAAGAAACAAGAAGAGAGACAACAGCGGAAATCTAATAAAAAAGCTTTGTTTGAAGAATGGTTCGTCAAGTATTTTTGTCCAACGGTTGAAGACTTTTGCCGAAGAAGAAATTTAGATTTTAAAGCTTTGCTTAATTTAGATAATGCCACTGGTCATCCTTTTGGTCTCGATTCAATATGCAAAAATATCCAAGTGACATTTTTGCCCGCAAACACTACCTCTTTATTGCAACCAATGGACCAGGGCGTCATCGCGACCTTTAAAGCATACTACATGAGAAAGACTTTCAAGCAAGCGATTCAAGCAACATCTAGTTCAATTTTGGAAGAAATTCAGCATTAAAGATGCTATTGATAATGTTGCGTCAGCGAGGCACATGACTAGTGTCACGCCACATTTCTAGAACTATCCCGTTCCTTCGGGAGTGCTCTAGCATTTACTAGATTGGGGGATGGTCTGATATACAAGATATATAAGATATATATAAGATGGTCACGGCGTGACGTGACAGAGTGTGTGTGTAGGTAGTGAGTAATTTATCTGCAGTCACAAGGTATTGTTGAAGTTAACGTTCGTTGTTAAAACGTTTGTTACAGAGCGACTGCTGAAAATAAGTGTATCGGTAAAGTTATATTCAGAAAGAATAAACCAGTTTTATTAAGTAAGGACTTGTGTCGCTCAAGTTTCGTCGGAACGAAGTTACGGAAAATTAATTAACAAACGGAGACGTAACAAATTGGTGTCAGAAGTGGGATAAAAAGAAAATGGAAACGAGAAGCGGCAAATCAAACTACAGCCTAGCAGACAAGAGCTCTTAAAGGTATAAATCAAGGACAATTACCAATAATATAGACGGGGTTATTTTGGAAGAGGATGCCTTCCAAAACGTTTCTAGCCAAATCTGAGAGTTCCCAGTCAGGATATAAAGCTGCAAAGGATAGACTAACCCTTTTATTGGGCGGCAATGCTAAAGGAAATTTGAAATTAAAGCCTATGTTGGTTTATCGAGCTCAGAATTCCGTCGACGTTAAAAATTTGTTCATCCGAATACCCTCCTTCTTCCACAATTTTCTTCAGAACTTCAGGATATTCATCAGCAGCTTCCTTATCTGCACTAGCTGCTTCCCCTGTAATTCTTACATTGTGCAGGCTAGTTCTTTTCTTGAACTTCTCAAACCATACAGCACTAGCATGGAACTCCTTTGTCTCGTCTTTGAACTTTTCTTCTTTTAAGATTGAAAAGAGACTTAATGCTTTTTCTTTTATTAGATCAGTGCTTAAAGGAATTCTTTTCTGGTTACAGCCCTCTATCCAGATAGTTAGCAATCTTTCTAATTCAATCATGATAACATTTTGATTTCGAGTGGTATACACACATGATAAGTTTGAAGCAGCTTTACCTTTCATTTTGTATTCATCAGCTTTACCTAGAATTGCTCTTACTGTTGACTCACCTAGTTTGTGCTCTAGGCCTATTTTTGATTTCGAGACACCATCTTCAATTTTTCTTATGATTTCTATTTTTTCTTCTAAAGAAATAACTTTTCGAGTTTTCCTTACAACTTCACTTTCATCTTCACTAAGTCTTTTGCTCATGTTTAGGAAAAGGTAGTACATTAAAATGTCTAAAGTAAAAAAAATGTCAAAAAATTATTTCAAAGATGCCCAAATGGCTTGAGTAGTTAGGCTAATAGCAGAAAACTAATTACTTAGATGATGTAATAACTAGAATGTCCACCCCGAGGCAATAATTTTTTACCCCGGGGAACGGGTTCCCCGTGAAAAAAAATTTAACCCGTGGTAAAAAATATTTGAAATAAAAGATACTTGATTAAGATTTTTATTGATTTATAAATTGTATTTAAAAAATATCGAACAAATAACAAGGCTGACACATTTTTATCCCTTTTTTGTTCAAGCATGTCGTAAAAGTAAATAGTTCTGGAAAATCTCACAGTATAAAAAAACGCATGTTATAGAATTTAAGTCTAATCGAATACTCATACA